TCTGTGTGGCCATCAACTACCGCCTCCTTCTCTTGCAGATGTGTTTGTGGTTTCCTCAGAGAGCTTCCATCTGGGGCCCCAACACAGTCCTCAGGGTAGGGCAGTGACCTGCAGCTGACCTCTCCTGATCACCTACCCCCTTTAGTCTTTCCCTCTGCTTGGAACTCACAGCTGGCTCCTTTCTGTGGGATCCATGTCTGACCCCCCAGGAGATTGTAGTGTGGTCCCACTGGGGGTAAACCTATAACTCCTCCCCTATTCTGTCCCCTGGGAGCTACTTTAGCCAGTGTTGGTCTTTAGATCTTTCTCGAAGAGAGTCAGCCATCTTCCCCCATTTCTCTGAAAGTCTGGGGGATACCTATCAGTTCTTGAAGCCCCTCCCTCAGTTTAGAGTAGAGGAAACAACCCTTTACTTCTATCATGTGGGGATGGGGAGGGGACCACTGCAGGCCACTGACAACTCTCCAGGGGATTCTGTGATATCTCTGTCTGGTTAATCTTCAGCTTCTCTGGTTTACTCTTGAGGAAAGTGATGAGCTGATAATTGATAAGTGTGACTTGCCTCACAGACCAGTTTGTATTGTAATGTGTTCAGCTTGGAGACATCGGCCACAACCCAGACAGAAAGAGTCCCATTTTAATGTCCTATCACTTTAAAGTCCATAGTTCTGTGGTTTCTTCTAAACATATCTAATGAGATGTGTAGTAATTGGCCCTTGTTTTCATTTTTGTTTTTTCAGGGAGCAAGAGGGCCTAATGGCTCCGTTGGTGAAAAGGTAAAGAAAAAGAAATAAGCTTTCTCTCTCCTGACTCTCCGTTCTCTGGGTTTACTGTAATTGGGCCATTGGGCTGGAGCATTGAATGGATAAATATCATGGAGCAGAAAGATGTCTCAAAGGAATTGCTTGGGAAAGGCACAACAGCTGGGATGGTGGGGATCAAACACCCTTCCCTGTTTTCTTCTTGCTCACCCCGCCCTACAAATGCGTTCAAATGAGTGCATCAGCTTATCCAAGTGAAATGTCAACTAGCAAGACAGCTGTTTCTGTACCATTAAGCAGTAACGATCAGAGCATTCATCAACCTAATTAACTTCAGACAGTGATGTTCTGATGTTGTTCCTTCCAGGAGTGAACCCAGGGTTGGGTAATCAGCCTGTCCTTTCCCTTACAGGGTGACCCTGGCAACAGAGGCTTACCGGGACCCCCAGGGAAAAATGGACAAGCTGGCACTCCTGGAGTCATGGGACCCCCAGGGCCCCCCGGCCCTCCTGGTCCCCCAGGCCCTGGATGTGCAATGGGACTTGGATTTGAGGTACTTTCCTTCCTTACTGTGATTAAAGAACAATGTGCACTAAGGGCTACTGGGAAGACCATCTAGCTGAACACTGGCCCGAGGGCACAGGCCATGCCAGCTCCCTGCTGAGCCCCTAGCTTCTAACACTGGCACTTGGAAAAGTAGGTGCTCAGAACTGGACCTGAAATCCTCATTCTTCCTCCTTCCCTAGGATACTGAAGGCTCTGGAAGTACCAGGCTGCTGCATGAACCCAAAATCTCCGGACCCATGGCTTCAAGCGTAGGTTGATTTTGGAACTTTCAGTATGAGGATTGTCACACTAGAGCGAGGGGGCTGTGGGTGTATCCTGGCTCTGTCTCTTTCATTAACCACCTTCTCTGTGCCTCCAGCTACTAGCCTCTGTGGAACAGGGAAAGTAGAGGTCCCTTATAGCTTGTTTCTCTGGGGAACATCCCAGGAGTTTTTCCTTGTTTTTAATTTTTATTTTGAGACAGAGTCTCA